TCCGATCACCTGGCAATTGCCGTCAGAAGATGTTTGTAAAGATCTCTCGGCTAAAAACCTTCCTCCAAACTTAGCGGGCTCGAAGCTTGGCAAGCTGAACTCACTGCTCAGCGCGTGTCGAATCATGTATCAACAATTGCCATTTAAGAAACGCTAGCTGCCTGTCGTGTGTATCTGGTTCAGCGTTGTGTTTGTCACCACTTGGCTGCTTACTTCACCACATTAGTCCCACTCCGGTTTGATCTAGCTTGTGTCACAAGTTTTTGCTCGTGCGAGGAAACCCGCTGAGAGATGGTCAAACTCCGACGTGGACATCAGAAATGGTCGAGTCAAGGGCTAGCGGCTAGCGCTTGTTTGGAAAGGTTGAACAACAATTCTTGCAATTTCCTGGCATTTCTGTCATCTACATTAGTGAGCAAGTGGCAGGTGGCATTACACTTTCATCTGAAAGTTGGACCAACTGGAAGAATAACTATATATAAGCCGTGCTCGGCCAACCCACCGCCGTGTGACTTTGAAAACGACGTCGCAGGCCCGTACTGCGAAAATGGCCCGTGACATCGAATGGGAATTGACCCTGAGTCTCTCCGTCGGGACTCTCCAGCCACCACGTCGGTTTCTGGAGTCTGGAGGGATCGGGTTGACATCTTCGGATCGGGTGGGCCCTTTTTTCGTTGCGCATGTCGCATGTCGCCTCCGGAGCCATAAACATCAATGTGCCGCAAACAGCTCCGTCCCAAGGCTCACCTGCCCAAAACTCATGCCGTGCAACAATTGGCTTCCGAAAGAAATGAGAGCATGAGTCAATGAGTTAGCGAGACCAGACATGAGGGCCGCGCTCAAATTCATGGCGAAGCCAAAGTCCAGCAAAGCCAAGGTCGTGGAACTCACCTGGGAAGCAGGAAAGAAGCCAGCAGAATCCCACACTTGACCGCGATTTTGCGGTTGGGCTCCTGGCTGTGATTTGTGTCAACAATGGAAGGTTGCTGTTAAAGTTGGTTCAACTTCCCCTTGATCAAATTCAGCACTTTGCGTTGCGGCTTTCCCGAGGGTGAAGCGTCACGAAATCTAAAGTTGGAGAGCTTCACCTCAAACATCCCAGTTGTGCTCATCAGCATGAACGCGCATTGCGCACGCAACTGAGGGACTCACATCCCGATGCACAAGGCCCACTTTACTGTGGAGATGCCTCAGCTGAGGCATGGTGCTACTGAAGCCCAAGGGTTGCTTCAGAAATGTTGTACGTTGAGCCGAGAAACGACAAAGCTTGAAAAACCTGCTTAATGACGCCCTGCAAATAGGCCTGGAAATTCAAGATCATGACGTCAAGATTGCAGCACTTTCAAGGTGGCAAAGCCATCTCAAAACTACAAGGTGAGGTTGTTGGCTGCCATGCAAGCTGTCGGGAAATGGTCCAATCCGCGGTCAAAAAGTCCGGCACCGAAGGTGCTGGGGTGTGTGTTGTGTATCCAAATGGCATAGTCAATCGCAAGATTTCAGCTTTAGGCGGGGGGCGCTTTTCGGTGAAGAAGCCTGAAAATTGAGTGCAGAAAAAAAATCGTAAATAACGGCATAGGTTTTGGGCCACAACTTTTGAGGCATTCTTGAAAAAGGTTAAAAACGTTGGGCATTTGGTCAAAGTTGCCAGGTAGAACCGGCATGAACAAACAGCAGCTGCTTCATGGTACGGCTCTAGCTGGCTAGGGGTTCGTACTAGCCAGGTAGAACAGGGACGGTGGGAATCTGATGGAACTTTGTGTTTCTATAGCATTCAAAACATGTCTTGAAGTTTTGAAAAGCGGATTGTCACAAGAAGCACGCATCACACAGGGCTCCGCAACATCTCACACACATGAAGTTGCATGTCCTGTTCTACTAGCAACAAATCTAGAATCCTTGCTAAAGCTCGCAGCGTCAAACAGCAGCCTTGCTAAATGGCAGGTGCTCGGTGTCAAAGCAAGGATTGCCTCCTTCTTTTGGCTGCTCCCACACTTTGCCGGCTTTGAACATTGGGGAAGGCAAAGGGAAACTGCTGATAGCATGATCCTGACGTCAACGACAATGACTCCTACCACGACTACAATCACGACCACGGTTGACTGTAGCCACCACCACCACTGCAACTATAGTACTGCCCCTGGCACCACGGCCACCAGCAAAGGAAGCAGCAGGAAGGATCCGCACTCTTTCCCGAGCTCTTCCCATCATCAAGGTCAACCTACGTAGACCCCCGACCATAGTTTTGTCTCTGACTCATATGGCTCGATGCAGGGCTTCCAAAGCACCCAATGGTCTCAATGATGGAAACAATCAGATTTCTCCTGGTGCAGGCGGACCCAGCCGCGTTAGTGGCGCGAATAGTAAAACAAGAAACTGAGGCGAGGCGACTGGGAAGCCGGAGCCTGGTATGATCAGCTGATTCAGAGATTGAAAGGGGTCAGCAGAAATGGGCCAGCAAGGTGATTGGTCATTTAGCCTCGATGCTTTCTGCACACGCGGCTTTTTTCACAACACAGAGGACATACAGTGCTTGAAACAACCGCCATCCTGGACAGAAATGAATCCCTCCCGGCACTAGCATCTTAAGTCTTCGGTCTTAGACCTTCACTTACACTGTCATCCTGGTAGGACCTCTCCAAACTAAACACCCGACACTCCCACGCTTGGCTATTCACTTAAGACTTAGGTCACTTAGGTCATCTTATATAGGTCTCTGCCTGGCTAGGATTTTCCTTCTTTTTGCGATGGCCTCCAGCCTAATAGCGATGGCCTCCTGATCTGATCTGGTATTAATTAAATGGTATGTTACGTCCTGTATATAAATGGATATCAATGAAGAGATTGATGGTTTGGTGTTATTTGGAGATGCATTGCGCGCTTGCTTCACACTTGGCTTCCTGAAGAGGCGGACGGTGAGCGCACGTGTGCTTGTATCCCAGTCGCACATTACCTTCTATGTCTCATGCCGCTGAGCCCCAATAACTAGGCAGCTTGGCATAACTGCTTCCAAAACACATGAATCTATATGTGTATTGCATCCACCCGAATTACATCCGCCCAAGCAAGTATGTGACTGATGTGTGTATACGGCTTGGTCTACCTGAAAATGAGCAACCATGCGCCTCGGTCACTGGGAAAAGCTCCTGATGCCGGCTGATGCCATGCGCTTCACAGCGACAGAAAGAACTCAAGCTCCTCCACTTGTTCCATCAGCTCGGCACCCAAGAGCTCCTGAAAAAGCACATCACGACACACGTTGAGTTGGTGTTCAAACGCCCGTGGTGGTCACGTGACCGGTTACAAGGCGTCACCACATGATGATCACGTGCGCCTCCATCACAATGAAAAAGTGTTGTGGACCCTCCATGATGTCAAAGTAGGTTGCGATGTTGGGATGCTTGGCCTTGCAATGAAAGAAAGATAAAGAAAGTGAAACACGTTTATAGGCGTATACCTTGTTTTGGCTCCGAAGTCTTCAGGCCTTCTGTGACATCCACAGAAGCCTTTCACCAAGATGACGGTCTATCAGTAAGGCTCTGTACCTCAAGGTGGAACTGAATTTGAAGGTTCAAGGTCTCCGTGACTCCTGCAAGTGCGCACCGTTCACCAGCTGCCTCTTTGCGGACACTCTTCACCACACACTCCTTGCCTGTGCCTTTGTCATCGGCAAGGTCCAACGCAGCATCAATTTACAGTAACATATTGAATGTGTCCAACAATGGAGATGTTTGCGCGGTGGCTCTGCAGAGGGAAAATAGAACACAGCAACTAACGAACTTTATACATCTATATACAGTAATTAGCCACTTAGCCCATCTGGAGACCGCAATATCGACATTCAAACCAGGACACAAAGAACCGTTGTTTTGCAAGACCCCACCGCGTAGCTAGTGCGCTTCTGAAACTTATCAATGGCCTTGTATGAAAGTCTTTGGCATTTCTGGCCAATCTAGGCACTAACTCACTAAGCCACTAAGCGATCTGCTTCTGTGCTGACTCCGCCGAACAACTCCAAAACTTCCAGAGCCAACTGACCTCACAGGAACAGAAAGTCTGCACGGGTCTATTGAATTCTGTCTCCAAATGGTCCTCCCCTAGCCGACTTTCTGCACCAACGCTATCGGACGCTGTCTGGGAAGAAATGCAAAGAGCCAGGCTGATCCAAAATCTCATACAAGTCCTCACTTGTGGGAGTTCAAAGATCTCCAGAGTGCAACAGTCAACCGTCTGGTCTTTCTAGCCTTCTGACCACCTGTGCCCGCACCTCCAACCTCACTTTGTCCGGGCCGCTTTGCAAATCAATCCTTACTGCACTCGACAAACAAAGGCATGGATCACTCTCCGGTGGAAAGCTGTGCATGGCGCCCTTTTCCGCGTCACCCGCACCCTTTTCAAGCGAACCATGCTCAGTAAAAGCTGCCGCCGCAGCACTTCAGAAGCTGTCCACAAGTCAGGACAAAAGAGCCGCTACACTCACCAAGCGGTTTCATTGTAAGCTACCAGGTGCTGGCTGGAGCCGGGCGTATGGCAGTGCTGTGGTTGTTTCTTCTGTTCCCATGTTTAAGTTTAAATGTACTGTACTGTATATATAAATATGTATGTATACAGTACAAAATATAGACATACACGCCTATGACGTGTTCGCGGGGTCTTGGAACAGAGTCGAACGTCACGGTGCCCTCTCTTCAGCACCACCACTTGATAAACAAGAAACGCGTTGCTTGGAAAGAGGCCGTTGCAGGAAACGGCTTAAACAAGTGCTTTGGCCGCCTGGAGGAATGCCGAATTGAGTGCAGACTGGCAAGCAAACAAATCTTGAGGAACAAGTTCAATGTAGCCAGTGCTGCACTTCAAGCAGTCCCAGGCATCACAAAAGCAGTTGCTGAAGACCAAGCTCCATGGAGTCCTATCAGGGCTTTGACTCTCATCTCTCTTGCACTCTCTCACTTTGTGTGCTTTTGTTGCCATTTTAGTGTTCATCGAAGATAGTGCCAGTGTTTTTCTTGCATTGCGCCAAGGTGATCAGGAAGTCAGGCTGCCTCCCCTCTGGGGAAGCAAAAAAATGGCCCAATTCCTTCATTCTGTGCAAAGAAAGGAGTGCACTTGGGCCAGTGAGAGGTGAGACAGAATCTGACAGTGCCTTTTTCGGAGTTCAATCTTTCTCTTCCCCCTCTTCATCGCAGGAGATCAGGGAAGGGTGGCAAATTCGGCCGGTTGCCCACTGAGAGTGGGACATTGTCACCAGATGGACCATCTCGCTTGGGTGGAATGATCGGCTTTGACCCACCCGCCGCATGTGCCATGCGCCGCCGAGAGCCCAGAATGGCCGAATCGAAGCGCCGGGCGATGCGCAAGGAGATCTCGTCGAGGCCGGCCACCATGCGCTCGCTCTCGGCAAGGGAATCATCCATCAAGTCCATCTTTGTTGCAAGTGCATCAGCCTGCGGCACATGTGTCTTTTTTCGTTTATATCTCTGGGTGGTGCATTGTAGATCGTTCTAGCAGTGTCGCATGCCTTGTGATGCTTCTCCAGCGTTGGTAAATTACAGCCCTTGACCGACATATAGCGACATTGAGGTCTGTCTGCCCTTTAGAGCCTGACTCAGTTTAACTATAGCAACGACTGTGACTTGCAGTGTCGGTGCCAAATGATATCAAATGATGGCCCATACGAGATCACAAATACAAGTAACTACATTTGTCGTCATTTGTCTAAAGAGTCTAAAGTTTCATAGCTGCAAATGCTCACAAAGTTGCCAGACAGTGCCTGCGCCATAACGGCCAACATGTCCTTGCTCATGGCATGACCTTTCAACTTCGCACATCCCTGGATAAAGTCGGTGTAGCTCAGGGTTTGCGAGCCATCGCCATCCAGCACACCGAAGAGTTTCACGGTTTCGGCCACTGGAAGCTCCAGCATCTTCATGCGCCATTGCACCTCCGGATTCTTCACCGCTGCGAGGAACTCTTCCTTGTCAAGACTGTTGCTGCCATCGGTGTCCGAGATCAAGAAGATCTCCTTGATACTGTCCAATTCTGCACGCTGTGCCTTCTCTTCACGTACCCTCAGCCGTTGCTTGTTCTGGAGTGAGGCCGCCAAAGTTTGCTCCACGATGACGCTCACCAAGATGTTCATGATTCCAAATGTGGTAATGAGAAGGAATACGCAAAAGAAGGCAATCATGTACCATTGATTGACTGCCACATGTCGAACAACCTGGCAGTCGCATTGAACTGGAGTCCATGTGAGTCTAGCTTAAGAGGTGAGGTACGGTAAGGTGGATGTCATGTCAGACTTTGACTGCACGGGACATGGTCGAACAATGCCAAACATGTTAAACACCTGTTATGAGCCATTTGTGGCTCTAGACCCTCATATCAAATCTGCAACCTATTGCAGTAGGTTATGATTGTTCTGCATCGCCGGACTTTGTGTATTCTCTCATTCTCGCATGTACTAACTGGTGCACACACTGCGCCTTGCTCAGCCAACTGTCCAGGGTCATGACTTGCATCAAGGTGAACATGCTCCGGCCCACGGTTCCGAAGAGCTCCTCGTGATCCCAACCTCCGCTCAACTTGCGGTAGTTCCCGTAGACTTCCACATTGTGTCCGATCTGCTGGGTCAGAATCACTGCTGCGATGTAAAGGACCACCACCAGCAGGACCACCGTCCAGAAAAGTGTTTGCATGGAGTCCTTCAAGCTCTGCAAGAGTAAGCGCAGTTCGTCCAAACGACGGTACTTCTTGATGAGCTTGTACAGTCGAGAAATTCCCACAATTCGAAACATGGAGAACATACGGAGCACTCCGGAGACACCAATTGGGTTCAAGATGGTGCAATCAATGAAGGCCATGAAGCAAATAAAGATGGTGAGCATGTTGGAGAAGCTGTTGAAAGCCCACCGCCACGTGTGGTAGTACATCTTCAAGCCCACTTCACCCAAAAAGCACAACAAGAAGAACACTTCTGCTACTATCCAACCTGCATCTCGTTGTCGGGAGGCACGCCTGACGTCCGTCTCAAGACCGATGATGAAGGCATTCAGTACGATCACGCAGCTGATGACAATGTCAAAAGCAGCACTGTCCACCCAAATTTTGTCTTGGTCCTCATCCTCCTCAACGACACCGTTGTCAAACGTCCGCATGATAGCAGCGAGTTCCTTCATTTTTTGGCTTTCCTGTGAAAGTTGGTCCTTTTTGCCGAGCTTGTCTGACAGAAAAGAGTCCCATTTGAGTTTCATCTGTGCAAAGAATCGACCCACCCTCGCACTGTCATCTTCCTCATTCCAAAGGCTTGGCTCCTCCGAGTGGTTCTTGCTCGCCATCCGGAAGCGACGGCTGGCTTTTCGCGGCCAGCCTGATCTGATTTCTAATCAAAGCCTGTTTGAGCCTCGGGAGTGCACAGCCTAGGTGGCACGAGTTGCCCAAAATGGGCCGCAAAACATGCTGTTCACCACCCAATCGAACCTCTATATATATAGCCTATGCCTGTTTCTTTGCACAGTGTTTCAAGAAAGTGAAAGACACCGAAGACACCTGCCTCTTGCATCCTCATGCAGCTTTGGAAACCGATGCAAAGGGAAAGTGGAAATCAAAGAGCCAAAAGCGCGGGTGGCAAGCGCCCTGATTTCAGCGTCAATTTGATTCGTCAGTCTTTTTATAAGAAAGACCTCCAAGCCTAAGCCCAAGCTGAGGAATCTGAGGACCAAACAAGGGCGCATCACAGCGATTCAGACCTTCACTTGACAAACCACCAGCCTCAGGGAAGCACTTCGCAGACTCATGACACATCATGATACACATCAATCCCCTTCCTCTCTCGCAGCCAGTTGACAATTGCATCATGACTGCTCAAAACGGTCGGTTCTTCATATCCTCCCGGGTTGCAAACCCAAACTCGCCACACTACGGGCGCTTCATCTCTAGAAGGGTCAATGGCCTATCCAAGTGCTGCGGAAGAGCAGCATGTTGCAAGGCACTGACAGCTGCAACGATGAGCCTGCAAGTGGTTCTGCATGCCAGCTTCGGCACCTACATAGACTCCTTGATAGCTCGCAAGTGTTTGACTGGATGACCGCATTAATCCGCAAGCTCAAAGGTCCGGGCTCAGGTCAGGGTCCCACTGCTCTGCGTCCCAGTATGCACCGCTATTGACACGCTTCATGCTCTTTTCTGTGTCCTTCACGGCAGCATCTACATAATGAAATGCATGAGCACATACACGCACAATCCGAAGCATATTGAAGCAAATAAGCATGACCCCTCCGACCTGCGCCACAGTCCTTGCACCAGGGAGAAGCTGCTGCTACCCTCTTTTCCATTCCCGTCTGCTACCCAAACCTTGGGCCCCTTGGACTAGGGTGCGAACTCAGTCTTGCACGCCTTGCCTGAAAGAAGCTGCAAGCGTTTGCAAGCTGTGAGGTAGTTCTGGGGGTTGGAACTCGTCGGGATTGGGGTATGTAGGGAAAGGTGGTTAGTGATGCTTGATACCTTCAACACTGGCATTAAAATCCACACCTGGCCTGCTTGCGTGTGATATTCATCCCAGTACCTTAATACGATTGCTTCTAACATGGCAAGGACAACTTGAAACCGCAAGACGGTTCCTTAACCCAACCCGAGTTTCCAACGCACTGCCCCCATCGTTCCTCGATGGATATCCTTGCTGCAAAGCATTTATGCTGGCTTCCCCTTGGAGCAAGCAACACAATCACAAATCCAGGCTGATGCTTTCCACATCCCATCCCCTACCTGGTGCGTTCACAGGATGTCCGAAAGCAGCAGTAGCAGGCCTGAGCACTAGTAACGCGAAAACAACAAACAAAAAAGAGAACTCTTCAGATTTGAGATATCTTGAGATTGTGCATCTACATTGTACCTCTTTCTTGGTTCCGTTTGGTAAAGAGGGCATCAAACCTTGTACAGAGGTGGGGTCTGGGAGTTGGCTGCGTCCTTGTACAGAAGCGGCCAAGGAGCGAAAACTAGAACTAACTATAGCAAGTGGATGTGGCAACAGCTTCTCAGGCAACTGACATGCTGCGAGCAAACCATCTGTGCTGTTGTGACGTTGTATATGTATGTTTACTGTAATGTTTTAACGTATGTTAGAGTGTCTTTGTGTATCACCATCACAGCAGTAACCTATCCCTTTTTTGAAAACAGCAGCCTGTCAAAGGATATCGCTTCATGGATGGCCGCTTCAGTCCGGGAAAGAAGAGGCATTACGCACGGCGTTACAGAGATTCTCTGAAATTGAGGCTTGCTTTTCGATCCGCTTCGACTACAAACTCTTGTCATGTCCTTACACAAGTCCATGGTGAACCTAAACAGGAGATCAACGGCCTTCAACCAATCGGGGGGCCTCATAGGGCGTCCACGGCTTAGATTTGGTCCGCAGCTGCTTCGCCACCACAATTCCCGCACATGCGTGCCAAAACAAGCTCACCACCGAAGCAGCACATGGGCGCTCCCGGCAGCACAAGCTGAAAACACTGGCGCATGACTTGGTCTAAGAATGGATCTGAATGGCCTGGATGATCGAGATGATTGACAGGGGAGGATTGATGGGGGGAAGACCAGACCATCCTCACATCTCCAGAGTCCAACCGCCCGAAACTTGGGCATGTCAAGCTCGGACCTGTACACAAACAGTCCATAACAGTCCGTGAATCTATTCCATTCCATTTGCGCACAGGTCCAAGAAGGTTCAGCGCCTCGCATTGAACATTTTTTTGGTGTTCGCTTTGTCTGGAATGTGGTTTTATGTGCAAAAGCCTAACAATTACAAGCCTCTTTCTGTACCATTTCAATGTGTCTGGTCCGAAATTTGCCATGAAGGTGATCAGGAAACATGCGGTCTCAGTACCCGGCAATGGGAGATTGGACTGGGCGGGTGACGCGGAAACTTCTGCCTGCACCAACTCCCCTACAGCCGACAGGAGCCGACAGGAGCCGACAATCACTCCTGAAAGGTCTCCCAGTAGTCGCGGCTTCCACCCTGGATGCTGCCACTCAAGGCAGCAGCCTGCATTCCAGCTCATAACTGCCTTGCGCAAAACCTGGCCCTTGCAAGTCAACGGTTGGCTATGGACTGCGGCTGCATTTCACCTTTTCAACGCTGCATGGCCTGTTATTCAGGACCAGTGGTGGAACCACCCTCAATTTTGAAGGCGGTGAGCTGAAAGGTGAGACTCTACGAGCATGAGCAGCTGGAGCACTTTGCTGTCCTGGAAGGGAAGGAACAAGTAGATCAAGGTACAGTAATGTTGGATCATGATTAGCAATAGGGTCATCAATAGAGCGCTAATTCATATATAACTTACCCCATGTTCATTAAAGGATCGTCTATTGTGCCAGTGTGTTTTCGATACTCGCTTTGTGCTACCTGAAAGAAAGCGTTTTGAATCCTTCTGAGCCCTGTCCACCTGCACTCCCCTCTCTTCAATTGACAAAGGGTTCCTCCAGTTCTACTTCAAAACTGAAAGCTTCCCCAAGCCATCAATTCCTTTCTCAATCATTTATGTGAAGACTGCTCCTAAACCAAATGTCAAGGTAGTAGACCAGGATTGCACCCGATCATCAATGATAGATTTGCTTAACAGGTTGTCAATATAGGTTCCCTAGTTAACTGACAGTTTCCCCAAGCCACCAATTCCTTTATCAATCCTTTATGTGAAGACTGTTCCTTAACAAAATTTCAAGGTAGTAGACCAGGGTTTGCTGCAGTTGCCGCGGTAGGGTTCTTCAAGTTTCGCTTTCTGAAATAGAGCAATAGAGCTAATGGGTGGCGTGGAATGCTTTCAGAATTTTCCAATAACCATCAAGGACCAAACTTTTGCCAAACCGAACTTGAAATGAGGCTGGGGTTGGCATCAATCGGAACATTTCACATCTGACACTATTTTGATGACAGGATACGGTTCGTGATGAGATGAATGTTAGAGTCCGTGTGCCTTTTTTTCTCCCAACTAATGTTGAAACATGATTAGTAAAAGGGGTTCCCCCCCTCTTCTAAACATATGACAGGCAATATAAACAAATGGGGGACTGCCTTTAATGAAACTACCACGAAAACAAATCTGGATTCCTGGAAGGATTCCCTTTGCGATCGATTGTTGTATTCATTTTCCTTTCATAGATTGCACTCGTAGTTTTGAAAAAGAACTAGGGAAACCCATATAACTTATATAATTACCAATGCTTCAGTAGTACTAAGATCTCAGGAAAGGTTTTTTGTTCCTCTCCGTGAGTTATATACTGTTCACAATTGACAACCTAGTAGGCACCGCAAGCACTATCGAACACAATGATTTCTTGCGCTCGCCTTGCATGTTGAGCATGTGTAGGCACTTTGTCACCCAATGCAGCTTTCACGATAGGTGGCTCTTTGGACATATCGAGTGCTTTGCAGTTGTTGAACATTCTTCCCGGGGCGGGGCCGTACAGCTTTGCGCCAACTCCTGTTCCACAAGGTCTTGCATTGAGCCAATCATGAAAAATTTGACGTTCACTTCTCATGCGTACCCCACCAGCCACCCTACACTCAACATGTTCAAACCTCAAGTTGACTTATGTGCAAAACGATGCATGCAGAACAAACGCCGTTTTTTGTGGGACGCTCTATCTGGGACACTCTTGTGGGACACTCTTGTAGGACACTCTTGTGGGACACTCTTGTGGGAGACTCTTGTAGGACACCCTTGTGGGACACTGTTTATGGGCACTCCCTCATACGGGACACTGTTGTGGGACACTCTATCTGGGACACTCTTGTGGGTGTGGGACACTCTTGTTATACACTCTTGTAGGACACTCGTGTGGGACACTCTTGTAGGGCACTCTTGTCCCACTCTTCTGGGTCACTCTTGTAGGAAGCTCTTGCGGGGCACTCTTTTGGGACACTCTTGATACCACCAATCATCCCGCTCACCAGCGACACACCGCGTTTACACCAGCATGTTTCGCGCTCCCTAGTGGCACGGCGCCACG